AGCAGTGAAATCTTCATTTTTGATTTGCATTGGCACAACTTTTCGAATAGTAGAGTTGGAGGGGACTCACGTATACAGTAGTATGTTAAATTACCACGTAAATTAATAATATAACAACACTTTTCTGACAGCCAGAGGTTAATACCTTTTGTGATGGCACGATAATGTTTTTTTTAACTGAGAGATACATATTTTAGGCTAACCTGACTGCTGTTCTGTGTTTCCTGGTTTGAGTAGCAGAAAATGGTGCTTTTGTTTTAATAGCATAGCTGGAGAGTTTCTAGGTAGCACAAAAAGGGGGCTTTTACCACTACAGGAAGACCTGGTTTGTCTTCGGGGCAAAATAAAAACTGGTTCAATATTTTACTAACAAAAACAAATACAATGGGGAAAACATATATTCCAAAAGTCATAGAACACCGTGTAGTAAGATATAGAATATAATAATTAAATGGGATATGGTTGCAAAGGAAACTAGCAGGGCTGGTAGGATGGAAAGGCATTGGATGGTGATAGTTTTAGTTATCTTTTCTTTTTTTGCCTCATGTTCATTTTCTTTTGCTCTTTCTATTTCTTACTCCTTTTCTGTGCTCTACATGATGTTTCTTATCCTGAAAGGGAACAGTACAATGGGTATAAATGTGGGAAAGAAAAAATACAAACTCAAAACTCACAAAATAACAGAAAACACCCACAGTCCAGACTCAAAGCAGTAATTTATCTACTGTGATTTACATGTTAAAAACTATAAAACAGAGTACAAGAACCCACCACTCTGAATCCAGCCATCTGTTTACTGGGTTCATGGCCCTCTTAGTAGGTGAAGGCTGCTTGGGAAATGATGTGTAGCTGAATTCATGCATTGTATCAACCCCGTTAGGGAGGGGATGTCTTGAAGGAAGCTATATAGTACACCTCTTCCTCAAGAAATCATTGAAAATTCAACAGTTCTCAAAATTTCATCAGTTTTCCAATTCAAGGATTCTCTAGACTCCTTTCAATTAATAATAATACTTCATTAAATATACGGTAAATGATGTCTGATTCCTAGTAATTCTTAGTTAGGTTTCAAATTGAGGCATATTATGGAGCATTGTTTGTGCTTGTTAACGACTTCTGATGGACCCAGGATGAGAGTAGTACAACCATCCTGGTTTTTCTTGATCTCTCAATGGCATACTATCTTTCTTGATCACCAAGAAGTGGACTTGAGGGTGGGGGCACTCTCCTGCAGTGTTTCTTCTTTCTCTGAGCTGCTCCAGTCAATGGTGGCACTAGGGGGGAGATTTAACTTAATGTCCCTGATGTGTGGGCTTCTGCTCTTGCCCCTCTTGTTTCACATCTAGATAAAGCCCTATGTCTGTAATCTGTCACTTCAGAGTAGGTGTAAAGCGGTATAGAGGTAGCCATGAAAAAGCCTTTATCTAAACACTAGCGTAGCTCTCAAATGGAGAAAGAAATGAGACAGAAATGCAAGATTGTGCGAATTGATTCTTTTTGATACAAGAGAGAGTGAGAATATTGGGCTTTTCAGATTTCGTTGTTATAACCTTTAATAATAGAATCATTTAAAAGGTATTTAAAATATGGCTGAGCTCCCCCCTTCCCATATCTTGGGGATAGAATGGGTAATAAGTCTCCTACTGGATTATGCATGTTGAGATGGCTGCTTTTCTTTTATAGACAGGCATTTTTCTCCTTTGTTATAAGGGTTTTGTATGTTTTTATTGTTGTAAACCACGCAGGGTTGCCATGGAGTTGGGTGGCCTTATAAATCTCATATAAATATTTATAAAGCTACCTGACTCTGTGATTATTTGTTATTCATAAATAAATAAAGGCCCTAGTATTATCTAATGGCTATTTTGTTGAATGCTAGAGTAATTTTTTAATCTTGCCAGCTAAATAAGCAAAAAATCCCTATGAATTATAAAACTAAAGGCAAAATAAAATCACTCAATAAAATTTTGTTTCATAGTTTCATATGTAATGAAAAGGCAGAAAAATGTATTGCATTTCAATTAAGAACAGGGTAAGTACAGTAATATATGGATGAAGTATAGCCAAGAGGAAAGATGGAAGGAGTCAATTTAAATCATATTCGTTATTAAGCAAGTGTTTAGTTTGAGAATTATCAGTTGTCAGTAATACAGATTCTGCAGGATCAGAGGAAGGTAAATACAATCACATTTTTACTATGCAGTTTGTGGTATTGCTACACCTATTTAAAAAGGTAATACAATAATAAAACAAAGCTAATTTTAGGAGGATTAGAGAATGCTGTAAAAGGCAATTATGTCATTTAGATGTATGTACCCATGCTTTCATATATTTTAATGCATCTTTATTAATTGAGGCAAACATATATATGGTCCACAAATAAAGTCAGATTTTATATTTTTCATTCATTTAAGAGAGGTTTGAGTACAAATATCAGCAATACATGCATTGCTTACAGTCATACAGTATATTCCATCAGACACAAATGTATAAAACCACACTATAACTTTCTGAAGACATAGAAAAAATTAATATGATGTAATTTTAGAGTGTGTGTATTTCTGAACTTTTTCAAACAGTGTAATATGGAGGCCTGATTCCAGAGTTAATTTGGTTTGGAGGCAGAAACAGTATGAACGTCTTAGTAAAATTGTAGTCACAATATATTTTACTCTTGTTGACACAGCTGTTGTAAACTAACACAACTGTTGTAAACTAAAAAAAATCTTTCCTACAAGTAAAACAGTATCTTATGGTTACAGTAAAATTTCATTATGTCTCCATCACCAATAGAAAACCTAACCTTTGAATGACTACATTCATATTTATATTCATTTAATAGTCTTAACTTAACAGCATTTTGCATGACAGGTAGAACTGAGCCTAATATGGTCTCCAGCAGGGGTGGGTTTTGGCAGACACTACTGCTGGTTTGCTTGTGTGCGTGCTTTGTGCACAGGCGTGCATGCACAGTACAATTAAAATTGTTCTGTGCATGTGCAGAATGAAAAACAAGATGGCGGTGCCTATGGTGCTGCCTGGCGAAACGGTTCAGGGGCGTGGCAGGCCTGGATTGCTGTCAGTTCGAGCGACCTAGGCCACCAAACCACTACCGGTTTGGCCAAACTGGTCCAAACTGATAGGAACCCACCACTGGCCTCCAGTTAGTTAAAATAATTCAACACACATGAGAAAATCCAAAGGAGGAAAGGATTTGTTGGTTTCTGTCACATTCTAGGAGAAATTATTTTATATATTTGCCATTTGATTCATCAAAAAGGAGCTCTACCTTCATCTCAGCAACACTGTGGTGCAGTGGTTAATTTTTTGCACTAAGTTCAGGTAGACCTTGATTCAAATCTGCCCTGAACCACAAATGCTGAGGGACTTTGGGCCAGCGATGCAAACTTAGTTCTAACAGGGAGAAAAGGATGGTGCACATGCAACCTTAAGTTTCTAGATGAAAGGCAGGATATGCATGTACTTCAAAAAAACCTAGAAGGCGATCTACAATAGGGGAAAACTTTGGTGTACATTGTGTGCACGTTTGTGTGCCTTGACTCCTGGCAGCTGCCTGGACATATCTGCAGGTTTTTTTGCCAAGATTTGGGGAGTGATTGCTATTGCTTGCTTCCTGGGACTGAGAGAGCGTGACCAGCCCAAGGTCAGGCAGGTGGCTTTGTGCCTAAAGCAAGAATTGTCTTCTAGCCTGGAAAACTACACCAATAGAATTTCTGCCTACTATATTTGCTGAAGGCTTAATCACAATTAAGAAGGAATGCTGACAGACTTACTTAGTTACTAAAATTAATTAAAACTTTAATTTTATAATGGTTATTATTATGAGGACCCAGATTGTTGGGAGCAATATGCTGACTCTATAAATGGCTTAGAGAGGTCTGTAAAAGCATTGTGAAGCGGTATATAAGTGCTATTGCTATTAATCCATGGCCCTTTTCTTTCCAAGTCTATTCCATCTACAGACATCCGTTGGAGGACCCCACATAAATTGTTAAGCAAAGCAAAACCAAGTTCAAAGTAAGTAATTAGTGGAAACAAATCTGATGCCAACCTTTGAATAACAGTTCAGTCTTATGGATGCTTATTTTTGAAGAAAGGGACTATTCTACATAGACATTCATAGAATTGTAGTTTGGTGCCATATGTATTTACTATTTCAAAAATCATTGTAATTTTAAAGATTATTATTTTCCAGTGTCACTATCCTATTTGGGGGATGTTTTCTTTTGCTTTTATCTACTGGTCCTCCCTTCCATGGAAATTCCCAAATGCCTCTTGCCCACTCCTTCCAATTTCTTCTATAGGGCTGAAGGAATCCGAAAAGCAAATTCGGATAGCCCCACCAGAGTGGAGTGGACGGAAAGAGAGAAATTTACTGTATAAACGTCACATTGTGCCCCTTACTCCATTAGCAAAATACATTGGTATGCAATTAATTGCTTAAAAGAATTGTGCATGTTCAAAGAACTGAATTATTTCAGTGTGCAAAGCTTTTTTTTTTAAAAAAAAATCTAAAATATTTGTTTCAAGTATTTGGTGAGAGTTTTGACTTTGAAACATCTCCAAAAGAACTGAAATGACCTATTTTATTCTTTTCATATCTGTTATCAAATTCTTTGCAAAACACTGGTGCTTCATGGTCACTTAGTATCATATCTTCAGGGAGGAGAGCTCTGTATAATTAAATAAAATGACATTAACAAATTTTGCAGTGCAGCTGTATTTAAAAGACAGAAATAACTGGTATTAACTTGAAAGGCAGAGATATATCAGCTTACCACTAGTGCTTTAGTCATGAAATGATTGGGCTTATGTATTTATGTTTTTATTTATTTAATTGGCAGTTGTACATGTTGTTCTAGCAGTCTTCCTCAACTGCTGTATCCAGAATTTCTATCCCCATCATTGTCAAAGCATTACCAAAATAGCTGGATATTGTACATGAACATTTGGACATAACACACAACCTCATTTTTAAATGTTTGCTATAGAAACAAATCAGGTTCATTCATTTATTCATTCTTGAACAAACTTTCCTATTTAAGATAATATTTTTGCCAATATCTAGTATACAAAACTTCAATCACTTCATGGAACAAATGTTCTGAGTATATAAGTATTTATAGTTTAGTGCTTTACTACTTAACTGCTTTGAAAAATTGTAGATCCCCAGTTCCCTAATTCTGTTGGAATAAATCTACTGACCAAAGGATTTTCACTGCCTAATAATACTAGCATGCATGATTCCATCACATTATGAAAGACACACAAATCAGATAGTGTGAAATATATACCCAATATCAGAAAAGGCCATACAGACAATTGCTTAAGGTGGAATACAGCCCTTTTAAGAGATTTTGTTTCAAATAATCAGGTGTGCTATTTTAATATTCCTATATAAGGCTTTCCCAAATACTTACAGTATTAAACATTGAGTCCAAAAGTTAAAAGTAAATTCTGCATCTATGAATTATTTCATAAAGTTATCCTGTATAGCTTCAATTTTTGCTTGCTGCCTTAATTTATACAACATGTATATAAAGGAAAATAACATTGTACTGAATTTTGTTTTGTCTATGCAAAGACTGAATGCAAATAATACATAATTTAAAAAAAACATAGTAGTTTTACTGACAGTTACATCCTGCCCTTTCACCATTGAAATAACACTATAAAAATAAGGGGGAAATTATAATTAATGGACAAACAGATATGACACTGTGGTTACAATAAACGTAAAAGTATGTTTTTTTTAAAGAAGCATGAACACTAACATTTCAACATCTATGTAAAACGAGGCATATCCTAAGGGCATCTGGATGCCAATACTTAGTAATTGCAAATAAGAACTGAACAGCTGAAAGGATATTCCTCAGGATATCAGTTCTCAAACTAAGCTTACCTAGTAAACTTAGGACATTGAATAAAAACTTAGGGTATTAAAATAGCTAGTTTGGTTTTTTAATTCCACTTTTATTAATTTAGCAAATAATTCAAGGTGGCAAAAATACCTTATACTCCTTTCTCTTAATTATTTTAATGTTAAATAAACATAGCAAAGCAAACATCCTCAGCTGAAAAAAAAACCTGCGACTTAAGCAAAAATCATGAATATTCCCATCCCTTAGGGAATACTATATATTTGCAAACACTTCACATAATTTTTATTAGGCCAACACTATTTCATTATATTCAGAGTACATACTTGCAAGCTAGTCAAAGCCTATTATTCAAGAGGAATTTTGGGAGTTGAAGTCCACACTGCCAATTCCTTACCTCTATCTGTCTTATGTGTGGCCCCTCCATGAATTCTATCCAGGACCATATTCTCTTTTCTCCACTCTACAGTATTATAATTAATCAGATAACCATTCTGATTCAACATCTCTCCTTGGTTTTAAATCCTAATGGGTTTAGCTATATTTCTTCTGCCTGCTTGAGAATGTGACTGCAAATTTTAAGCATAAGCCTATGTTAGTCAATACAAGAACAATACAGTTTATACTCTATGAATGTACACAATAGTAGTAATAATAATATTGTAATTCCCATCCAATCTGAGTCAGTCTGAATACAATAAGATTGATATCTTATGAATGTAATAATTAGGAGTAATGCTATAATTGTCTTCCAACAAGCCCCAATAGTTATTCAATCAATTTTCCTTTTTTTTTTACTTCAATAGAAGCAAGACTTTTAACTGGTGGTTTACATCTGCCAGATCATGCTCATTGGTCCACTGACAAACGGCTAATTTTATTTCATCTTCCTAAATTATAAAGCTGTCCTACAGCTTTGACCTAAAATATTATAGCATGCAACATGCAGTGGTGTCTAGAATGACAATGTATGTATATAATATGTCTAACGATGTTAACAAGAAATATTAGCAAAGTGTGTTGTGGCTTCCTGAATTTTCAGCATAAGGCTATGATCCAAGTACCTGTAGGTAGTTTCAAATAACTGAACTTATTTATAAGTACATATTAGTTCAGGATATACATTTGTAGTTAGTGTCTCCTTTTCTGCTAATATTCTGAAGGCACTAACATCATACAGACTGTTTACACTATTTGCTATATTTGTGATACCCGCATGTTTCCTAAGGAAACATGATAGTGTAGTTATGTAATCTGAACTGTTTTGCCTATCTCTTTGAATATTAAGAGAATTCTTGCCTTAAATGTTTTTGTATGTTTTTTTCCCATTGCACTTGGCCTAAGTAACATGTTTTGCTTAAGACAGAAATTAGCAGTCTTGCAAGGAGACAGTTAATTTTTTAATGTAATAAATCACACACTAAAATAAAAGTGTTAATTTTAGGATCAGAGGGTCTGTGGATTCAGTGCCTTTTGTAAATATACAAACTGTCAGAGTAATAATGAGAAGTTCTCTTCTCATAATGATAAGAGAATGCCTGATTTATGGAAGTCAGGCATGAAATAGCTCTGGGAAAGTTCTATTTTAATATTGAGAAAGGATGTTTTACAGTGATAGGTTATAAAAATCAGTTATGCTGCTTCATTGAATGCATTCTTGCTGACTATAAGTTTGCATATCCATGTTAGCTCTAATTTTAGAAGAGGCCCAATGAAATGAAGACATGAGTGATATCTGATCAGACTCCATTCTCTTCCTATGGACTGACAGCAAGTTCCCTAGATCCAACCATTCTCCTATGTACTCTTTCTCTAGAACAGCAATAGAGAGACTGCTGGTTCTGAGTGAAGAGTCTTCACTTCTTAACTGCTAATGCATATTTGGCTGGGTTCATGCATGGTACAATTTATTCATTGTTATATGCCATTTTTCCAATGAGACAAAACATGCTAAGCAATTATGTAATTTGTTTAATTTGGCTCAGTTTATGCAAACCAACCAATTGTGATGTAGCAACAAATTGTAGCATAGTACAATACCTGAACCTAACTGCATTATTTTGGGATTACTTAATACTGGCAATAAATGCAGAACTGGGATAAAACAATTGGCTTGCCACTTATTTGGGAGATAGGAATGACCTTTCCTCAAACTATGATCTACTCTAGTACCACTTTGCTTTCTGCACATGGTTTTAACTGGATTTTCAGTCATGATTTGGACTCGGTTACCATGGATGTGATTAGCTGGTTGGTTACTCAGATTGGACAAATTAGAAAGGGAATACGAATTCAAAAATGACAGAGATGGAATAATGTGGACTTCAACAACCAAACTATTGTTTTGCTATGCTATGTAAACTGAGATAAAATGACTATTTTACTTAACCCCGATTTTAAGCAGGGTTCATTGAATAATAGCCTGGATTCCATGTATTAGGATGCCTTACTGGATGAATTCACATATCATGGTCATCGCAATGCATGAATCCAACCAATGTCTGTGGAACAAGGAAAGGATCAAGGCCCTTTAAAAGCTTCCATTTCACTATCTAAGAAACATTTTCATAAGATAGAAAGACAAGCAAAGAGATGAGGTGTTCTTTTAAAAAAAAAAACCACAAGAATATAATAGGATTTTGCAATTGTGCCAGCTTGTCAGAAGAAAAAAATGATACAGTTTTGTAGTCTCCCACAGTTGATTTTTTGCAAAGAACATACTTTTTTTTAAATGAAGACACAAATAAATATATATAAAGGCAAAGATATTGATGAAACTTCATACCACACAAAACAGGGCATCTTTTTTGTTTTAGTTTAAAAACAACATGGTACAAACAAAACAAATGAGGAGAGTTGTTAGGAACAAAGCTAAGGCACTAGAACTGCAGCAAGTAAAGAAAGAAAGGATCCACAACTCTTTGTGGAAAAATCTTCAGTCTCTCAAGGATACTGATAGTTGCATTTGCTAAAACAATTTATTAAATTAGAAGGAAAAAGATAAAGACAAGACTTGATCATACCCCTGACATTTAAAAAAAACGATTACGTTGTCCTCAAACATAAAGATAGGCTTCGGTTACAGGATTTGTTATTGAAACAATGCTTTAAAACATTTAGAGTCGATGAGAGCTTTTTGGTTCATCTGGGGCTTTCCTCTGAAATGTTCCTCTTCTGAAATTAAAAAATTATGCCACTTTTTCCCTTCTTCTTTTTGGCATGATGTGGAGATGCAATGTTCAGTGCTTCTTGGTCTTCCCTGGATCCAAACAGGTGGACGCATTCCAGTGTGTTCATTTTATTCTTAATTATGACAACTTTATAAATACAGATGGTTGATTCTGTTTTTGAATGGTATCATTCAGAGGAAAGATGCAAGAGATGGCTAGGTCTACAATACCTTGACAAAGCTCTGCATAAAGTTTCCTAAAAACCAAAAGGTGGAAAACAGTAATTAAAATGATGTTTGTAAAATACTGATTAACATCTCAAACATTGATCTACAATAACTGCAATCTTGGCCTTGTCAACAAGCTGATTTTACAATTGTCGACTTACTGATTTTGATTATGCTCAGAAGTAGCTGTATTTCTGGCTGAAAGCTACAGCAGATGTACATAAGATTTTAAGTGCGGGTTTCTTTTCCTCCACTGGAGACAGGAATTAACCTCTCCCAGAAGACAAGAATAGATTCCAACTGTTAGATCATTGCTTCTGTGCTCCTGACTTGAGCACATATGTTACTTTATTTTTCACTGCTTCATAAACTGCTGTTAGAAGGATAGGCAGGGATATCCAACACCTGTCCCTGGAGGCCTCTGATGCCATAGGCTACAAAGGAAGCCACTCTGTGCTGGATCTTTTTCAAAACCATTTCCTTAGAGGGGAAGATTCAAGATGCAAGGCAGTTGGACTTGATTATAGTAATGATGGATGCAATACTGGATGACCTAAAGGGCCAAGCAGGATACCAACCTGTAAAAGATCACTAAATATTGACACCATCTTAATAAAGAATAGTGGGATTGCAAATGACCTTGAAGGTGTCCAAGTCCAATACCCTGAGCAAGCAGGAAACCCTATGCTATTTCAGGCAAATGGTTGTCCAATATCTAATTAAAAACCTCCAGTGTAGGAGCACCTACACCTTCTGGAGGCAAGTTGTTCCACTGATTAATCACAACTCCTGAAGGCAAGTTGTTGCACTGATTAATTGTTTTAACTGTCAAGAAATTTATCCCCAGTTCTAGGTTGGTTCTCTCCTTGATTAAATTCCATCCACTGTTTCTTGTCCTACCCTCAGGTGCTTTGAAGAATACCTTTATTCCCTCTTCTTTATGGCAGCCTCTGAGATATTGAAACAATACTATCATGTCACCCTTAGTCCTTCTTTTCATTTAATTAAACATACCAATTTCCTGTAACATTCTTCATATGTTTTAGCCTTCAGTCCAGAGGAGGGTTCCTCCCAGTTCGGCCAGAATCAGGTGAACCGGTAGTAGCGGGGGGAGATTCCTCCCACCCACCTGGATGCTTCTGTGCATGTGCAGAAGCATCGGATGCGTGCAAGAGAGCGCGCGAGCGAACCAGTAGTAAAAAATTTGGAAACCCACCACTGCTTCAGTCCCATAATCATCTTCGTTGCTCTTCTCTGCACTCTTTCTAGTCTCAACATCTTTTTTATATGGTGATCAAAACTGGATGCAATATTCCAAGTGTGGTTTTATGAAGGCATTATAGAGTGGTACTAACCTGATCTG